AATATATACATGTATATAATACATATACATATATGTAATAATATATACATGTATATAATACATATACTATATATATTACATGTCTAGTAATAGTATGTATTAATATACACATGTATATATATAGAGAGAGAAGCAATGAAAAGTATAAACTAAGAAAAGTTTACAAGAAATGTGTAAAAGCTATGTGAAAAGCTATGAGAAGAAGAAACTCAGACTCTACTGAAGGCTTATAAATTGTTCAATTACAATGTTCTCAAATAGAAAGATTTATAGTTACAAATGTAAATGAAAGCACCTTTCCAACTAAAAAGTAAAACATATCCAACCAAAGAAAAAGGTATGATCTTGTCTGTGTGTTTTTAGGCAATAACATTAAATTTCAAAATACAGATTTGTTGAAAGAAAAAAGAAGATATGCCATATAAAGAGGAATAATTGAAAAACTGTGGTGACTGTATTAGCATCAATTAAAACTGACATTATAGATAAAAGAAGACATGTCAAAATGATAAGATTATTAAATAATCAAGAAGACATAGCAATGCTAACTGTGCAGACTATTCATTTCGAAATACATTAAGAAGGACTTCCACTTCCGGAAAGATGGAATATATGTACTTTTCAATATTTCTTTTGCTAAGTACAACCAAAATATCTGGTAATTATAGATACAACAAATGTAAGAAGACACTGCAAGGTGGAGAGAGGACAGCAAAAAGGCCAGAGGCCACAGTATCTGAGGAAAATCACTCATCATGCCAAAAGGCAGGATAATCTGAAATTGGATGAGAAAAGATAATTAACAGATGACAACACCAAGATGACACAAATGTTGGAATTAACTGGCAAGGATTTTAAAGCAGCCATCATAAAATTTCTTTAATGAGCAATTATGAACATGCTTGAACAAATAAAAAGAAAGTAGAAATAGCAAAGAAATAGAATGTCTGAAAAAAGAAATAACATATGCTAGGAAGAACCAAATAGAAATCTTAAAACTAAAAAAATTAATAATAACTGAAATAAAACACTTAACAGATTGATGGAACAAAGTAATGGGAGAGGACAGACTCTGAAGCTAAAACGGTAATTACGCAATCTAGACAACAAAAAGATTTAGACTAAAAACATAAAGAAATAAAATAAAATGAACAGAATCCCAGGAACTTGTGCAGCTACAACAAAATATTTAACAATCTTGTCATTGGAGTTCCAGAAGAGAGGAATGAGTAGGGCTGCAAAGTATTCAAATAAACAATGCCTGAAACTTTCCCAAAGTTGGTCCCAAAAAAGTATGTAAACCTAAAGATTCAAGAAGCTGAGAAAATCTCTCAAATTGGATAAATCCACAGAAATTCAGATCAAGATAGATCACTGTAAAACTTTTGAAAAGAAAGGGAAAAAATATTGAGGGCAGCCAAAGGAAGAAAAAAAGGAAAAATGGAGGAAGGAGAAGAAGGAAGGGAGGAAAAGAAGAGAAAAGAGGAAGGAAGGGAGTGAGACAAAAAGGAGGGAGGGAATGTCAGGAGAAGGAAGACAGCGGAGAAGTCATCAGATGCCACACGGGTCAGAAGGAAATGGAACACATTTTTCAAGGGCTTAAAGAAAAGAATTGTCAACCCAAAGTTCTGTGTCAATTAAAAATATTCTTCAGGACCTGGCCCAGTGGCTCATGCCTGTAATCCCAGCACTTTGAGAGGCTGAGGTGGGTGAACCATGAGGTCAGGAGTTTAAGACCAGCCTGGCCAACATGGTGAAACCTGTCTTTACTAAAAATACAAAAATTAGCCAGGCTTGGTGGTAGGCACCTGTAATCCCAACTACTCAGGAGGCTGAGGCAGAGAACTGCTTGAATCCAGGAGGCAGAGGTTGCAGTGAGCCAAGATTGTACCACTGCACTCTAGCCTGAGTGACAGAGCAAGACTCTGTCTCAAAAAAAAGAAAAAAGAATATATATATTCTCTATATATATATATCCTTCAGGAACAAAGGAGAAATCAATGCACTCTGTAATAAAATACCCTTTAAAACATGTAAAATATGTATAATAGTAAATATTTTCACTGAATCCTAAAAGTATATATCATTTTTGCTTTGCTGGTAAAGGCAACATTAAACTGTAAACACTTCATAATTTTTAAAATAACTATTATTGCTTTTTAAATTATTAAAAATATTTCATTAAAGACATATCATGAATGGTCTTACTTTTCCCTGATCATTTAAATTACATAAACTGTTTTGTGTAATACACCAAAACTTCTCTGTGATAATAAAGATACAAACATGCTATTTATAAAAGTTAAACTTTTCAGATTTTTTTTTCAGGAAATTTGGATACTTTGTGAAAAATAAAATTAATAATTGCAATAATAAATCAACATTAAAATAGCCCTTGGAAGATCCTTGGATTCAGAATAGTATAGTAACAGGCAACAGAGCAAGACTGAACAGAATCCTGTGGCATAAATTTGCAGTATTTGTCTTGGATATCATGATAATCCATTGCCAAATGGTATTTTCTATGCACTGCAACATGTATTGATGTATCCTTTTCTCTCTGGTAAAAAATATTGCACTTTCTGTTTGGTTGCTATGTATATAAAACTGGTTTCCAAGGTTTCCTGGGCTTGCAACCAGATCCATGTGCAACCATCACCAGGATCATTAGAGGAATTTGCTCCTGCCCTAGTTTTTGGGTTCATCTTTTTCCACATCATTATTCAACCCAACCTTGACCATTCCTAAGACTTAATAATTGTTCTACAATTGTTCTTTAACAAGCTAATGATCTTTAATAAGCCAATTGTACTGTATGATGCAAAATTTCTCAAATTACATGGTAAAAGATTTTAACAGCTTAGCATAGAAAAAGAATTTTTATTCAAATAAATAAGTGACTCTTGGACACTGCTTTCTCCTTATATGGAAATCATAAAGCTTGACAAGAAAGTCCAACTATCCTGTGGTAACCCTGACAGAAGACTGGTAGAGATTGTAGCTGGAGATTACTGAGAAACATGTTGTTACTAAACTCTCAAACAGTGTAATGAGTGATTTCCCAACACACTAAAGTGGTTGGAAGAGCTAAAGTTATCATCCAAACAATGAAAGCTCCAAAATTTACTTTTGAGGAAAAGATACATTTTAGGATTTTAGCATTCAAATATTTAGTATGCAGTTGTGCAGCTGTCAACACACTGGATCTGCCTTCCATCTCTCTTGACCATATTTTAGAGTTAGAGGAGCTTGCTGACCTGGTTTTCTTGAAATTATAAAGATTTCTTGAATTTTAAGTCAAATAAAGATTTTTCTTTTTCTTTCTTTTTTTTTAACTTTTTTCATCTTTTTTTGAATTGTACACAAACATTTCCTACATAATCCAACATACAACAGAGAAATGGTACATCTTTTTCTTTCAATTTGCATACAATGGAAAAACAAGTATATATATATTTTACAAAGTTTAACTAATAAGACACTAGAGCAAGTTGACAGTTTAAGTCTATAGGTGAGAAATTATCTAATAAAAATAATCAATTTTTTTAAGCATCAGTCACTTCCATAACCAAGTGTTATTTTGATAATAAAACTTGCTGCCAATCAGAATACTGGTATATACGCATACCATTACTCAACTTGTAGTACTGCTCCCCACCTTAGCTCTTTACAACTACTAACATAGAAAATTGTTGAAAAGCAGGGGCAAGCATTTGCAAAAAAACAAAAAATCCCCAGCTTATTATAAGCATGAATATGATGGAATTTCTTCCCAGCAATAGACTTTCAAACCACCAAGAAATCACTAGAACTAAGTATGCCAAGTTATTTTGCCTATGCCCAAGAAGAGATCCACTTATATATCCAACAGAGTTGCTGAAAATCAAATTTAGTGTTCAGTTTGGGGGTGGGTTGGGAAATTCAGCCACCATTTTAAAATGACTGTCTTAAAAAAAAATGACCACCAAAAATAGGTTCACTAAATTCATTTTTAAAATCATAAAACGTTTCTTACAAAAGAGCATTACATTCTGCACACTGCTCTGAACAGATGCCAGGGACATGTGGACTATTGTTATTTTCCTCCCTGTCCCTCCCCACCCAAATGTTACAGTGACCACAAAGCAAGGTGTTCACAATAATTACATGGGGGGAATTTTTTTTAAACCACCAACAATAACAAAAAATAAAATCCACTCACTCTGCTGCTGTTTCAAAATTTAAATGTTAGTTTTTGCACACCCTCCCACCCCCCCAACCCTGTTTGTAAGGAACTAAAACATTACATCTGGTGAACAGCAAAGATTTCACTACACCTCAAATGCAGAACACCTATGAAGCAGAGGAATGTTGGCTTTTTAAACAGAAGCAGATAAAAAAAAAAAAAGATGCAGGACTCCTTCAGTTCTTCACTAGTCTTAGAAAAACTTTCCAGAATACTACTTCACACTATAAAAAAGAAAAAATATCTTGCATTAGAATCCTTCAACATCTGCATACTGCTTCACACTGTTCTGCAGCAGATACTGTGCATTCTGTATCTGGTCCTGTGTTCCTGTAATGGTAATGATCCGATCTTCGGATCCTTCTAAAGGCTCATCAACTTTGATCGAAGCTCCCGACTCATGATGGATTTGTTTAATCCGCTGACCACTTTTGCCAATAATAGATCCAGCCAAATCTTTAGGAATAGTTACTTGTGTAGTAATAATAGGTCCACCAAGATCACCATATGAGCCACGACCCCCTGCATAGGAATAATCATATCCGGAGCCACCCTGTGGTTCATAAGCCATCTGCCATTCTGACGGGCTCCATGTGTCTATTGCAGAGTCCCAAGTTTCATCAGCACTGAAACCAACCATGCCATCGTAACGGTCTCCAGGTCTTCCTCTTCTGTCATAAGCCATGAGGTCTCCCCCTCTAGGTGGTGGTGGTGGTGGAGGAAGAGGAAGATCCGAGCTCTGCTACCACCCCGGCCACCCCGTCCGGGAGGAGAGGGAGGTGGTCCTCGACGAGGGCTCATATCGTCATAATCTCTTCTAGATGGAGGCATGGGGCGCCCACCCCGACCAGGAGGCATTCTGTCAAAACCACCTCTTCCCCGCATGGGAAATCCCACTGGGCGTCCACAGCGGTCATCAAACATCATTGTAAAACCACCATAATCATAGGTTTCATCGTAAAAATTAGGATCGTAAGGCTGTGCAGGTCCTTTGATGGGAGACTCAGATATAAGATCAAGGATGATCTTTATGCACTCTACAACTCTATCGGGTTTTCCTCCAATAAGAACAACTCTGTCAGTGGAATGAGGACAGCATTCCTGGAAAAGCTTGATGGTTGTTTGAGTGTTCTCTCGAAGTTCTTTGATTTTAGCACCTTTGACCCCAGTAATTCCTCCTGCTACACTCTGATGAATCAACAGCCTCAACTCGCAGTCAAAGTCACTTCCTTTATAGTGTTGGTACTCTTCCAAGGTAGGGATGATTTTCTTCAGAATTTCTCCAATTGTTTCAATATCAGCACTGATACTCAATATGCGCTCGGGGCCACTGCTGTCTGGGACTGAAACACTGGCATTGTAGTCTGTACGGAGAGCCTTAATATTCTTGCCTCCTTTTCCAATCACTGCCCCAGCATTCTTGCTCTGAAGCAGAATGCGTAATTCAACCATCTCATCAGTGTTTCTAGATCTTTTAAATGCTTGTTCCTCTTCCATATCTTCTGCAGGGCGTTTACCAAATTCACCATTTCAGTATTAGGGAAGGTTTCTTCTGGCTGTTCAGTTTCCATATTCTTGCATTAAATGGACACACCAATCAGTTATTATATATCCTCGCAGAGCAGAACTGAAGTGTTCTGGGTTGGACCAATAACTGACACCCCCGTGCTGCAGTAGCCTATAGGCAGCTAACAAGTGAGACACAGGGAAGATGTCGAGGTCAGTGCAGCAGAGAAACAGAGGATAATGGCGTCTCAAGATTTTTCTTTTTAGAAGTTTTCTTCTTCTAGAAACACATTGTTCTTTCTCTTTTTTAAAGCAGATCACCTTCAAAATGAATTTAATGGCCAGAAATTATAAAATTAATTTTTATAAATTAGAAGTCAAAGGTTGAAAATATTTTTTTATCCTGTATTTTATAAAATATTTATTTTAATACAGTAGATTTTTCATCCACCTATTTGGCTTCTATGTAAGAAAACAGTCAACCACAAGTGATTACAATGGTTGAATGTTTTCATAAATAGAAGCCAAATCAGTGGATGAAAAATGTACAGTACTGGAAATGAAGTAGGGATTTAAAAATGCAATCATCTTATTAGTTTTTTCTTGAACATTAAACTCACCAAGGAACCACATCAGGGTTGTGCTTTGTGCCACCACCCCACCATCCCTGGAGAAATTCATAGCACCTCTATATTGTGGCAGCCTAAAGAAAAGTAACTAAGGAAAACCCAACTTCAGCCAGAACTGCAGGAGCCATTTCTGAAATTCACATATGCAGTATCTTCAATGAAGGAGAGAAGACACTGCCCTGGGAGGTCTTTGCCTTTGGTCTGGGCACACCACCTTCCTCATGACATATCAGGTGGTAGCATCATAAATGTTCATAATACATTGAAGGAAAAACTATAGCTATAGAATACATTTATTTATTTTAGCAAAGCCTGGAGAAATCAAACATCAATGGCACAGAACAAGTTTTTGAATAGAGCCCAAGAACTCACTGTGATTTGCATTCATGTAAACACCTACATTTTTTCGTTAACTGAACTGATTTAACAGCTAATTAAAACTAGTCAGTAAGCACAATGCAAAATTAATTAAACCATTTAGTGGAGAGATTCAAATTAGTGAGAGCAATGCATTGGACACTATGAAAGCAAGTGCAATTGCTACTTGTCATCAGGCAAAATCGTTCTGAGGGTAAGTGCGTTCCCCAGGGAGAAATGTGAAGGAATAAAAATCATCTTGTTGATTGTATGATCTTTTATTAAGCAAAAAAATGTGCTGAATTTCAGCTTATCTTTTAAATGGAAAAACTAGTCTTATAGTTATTTAATAACCACTAAGAAAATTTGTGAAAAACACTACTTATAGTAAAATTGATCATTTTTCAGATTTTATAAAGGTAAAATTTTTAGCCATGTGGTATAGGAATATTGCTTGTCTCTCCTAAAGAAATAAGTCAAACAACTTCTTTCTATTGTCAATCTGTCAATTCCAGACAGTCTTTTTATTTAACAATAGCCTTCTGCTTGAGAGGTGACCACTTCCCTTGTCAATAAATATATCATTTTGACATGCTGGGCATTCTATATTTTCTTAATTTTTTTTAATCTGACCTTGGATGATTTTTTTTCTGAGTAACTTCCCACAAAACATGGGATATCAGTCAAGGGGAAATAAAAACTTTGTTCTTAATGCTCAAAAATAAGAAGATAGAAATTTCAGTCACCTTTTTTACCTTCTACGAATGCTGGTGATAGCTATAGACATTTCTTGCATGTCAAACTCTGTTACCTTCTGTCACCTCACATGAGGTAATTTTACCTGGGAAGCATCTAATCTGTGTAGACAACAGTTGTGTTCAGAACTGAGATAATCATATAATCTACATTCTCTAAAGAAGTGTATATGCACACATACACAGTGAAGCTTAATGACAGGGATGTGTTCTGAGAAATGTGTTGTTAGGCAGCTTCGTCATTGTGTGAAAATCATAGTGTACTCACACAAAACTAAAGGGTACAGCCTACTACACACCTCAGCTATACGATATAGCCTATTGCTCCTAGGCTACAAACCTGCACAGCATGTCACTGTACTGAATACTGCAGTTAGTTGTAACACAATGGTAAATATTTGCGCATCTAAACATTGAAAGAGTACAGTAAAAATACAGTACTTTAATCTTATGGAACCACCTACATATTTGCAGTTCTGACCAAAATGTTATCCTGTGGCTCATGACTGAATGTACATACAAACACATGTTTGTTTTCTGCTTTAAGTACCATTGCTAGCATACCCCATATGATCACAAATATATTACGACTATTTTTAAAAACAATACTAAATAGGATTTTCCATAACTGAAACAAAATGACATTTTTATAGATAAGCAAATCTGGATTTAGATTCAACAGTGTTTGTTCTGTAGACTTCTGATAGTATCTCCGGGATCCAAGACGTTTCTAAGCACATTTCCACAAAAGTGGAGTTAGAGAAAGCAGATCCTAGTGAAACCATGGTAAAAGAACCAGACTCACTGTGAGCAACATAATCAATGCTGAAATTAGGAGTTTTGAATGTATAACTAAAACAAATTTATCAAGAACCAATTCATTTAGTGTAAATGAAACCTTGTCCTTATAGTTCTCCTAGCCAGGGAAGAAAATATTCTTTGATAGGTTTCAACTTGTTGATTGGTGAATTTCCTCACTATGGAAAATATTGGCCATAGGATCTTGCCAAGTGTCTTTCTCTAGACTGTGAGATAGCTTTTGAGCCTTTCAACCATGTAAAATACACCTCGACCATGAAATTTATCCCCCATCTTTTGCAGCACGTCTAGTAACCACCTTGTCTTTCCCCCTACTTGATTAATACCACAAAAATAAGCACAGAAATAAGAATCTATGGTCGCCTATGGGAACCGATAGTAACTTGTATTCCACTCATTCAATGCTTGTTAATTCTGGAAATTAGATTGGAGTAGGGTGTGGAGAAGGCAGGGTCAATATACCAGATTGAAATCATTTTGAATCTTATCAACGCAGAAGTGTGTTTCTGTTAGATTCCTCCAATAATATCACCAATGGCATAAGAGCCAAAAGGCTGTAATGTCCTTTTTTTTCTAAGTTTTTTTATTACACTTTAAGTTCTGGGGTACATGTGCAGATTGTGCAGGATTGTTACATAGGTATACACATGCCATGGTGCTTTACTGCATTCATCCTTCCGTCACCTATATTAGGTATTTCTCCTAATGTTATCCCTCCCCAGTCTCCCCACTCCCTGCTATTCCTCCCCTAGCCCTGCTAACCCTCAACAGATCCCAGTGTGTGATGTTTCCCTCCCTGTGTCCATGTGTTCTCATTGTTCAACACCCACTTATGAGTGAGAACATGCAGTGTTTGGTTTTCTGTCCTTGTGTCAGTTTGCTGAGAATAATGGTTTCCAGATTCATCCATGTCCCTGCAAAGGACATGAATTCATCATTTTTATGGCTGCATAGTATTCCGTGGTGTACATGTGCCACATTTTCTTTATCCAGTCTATCACTAATGGACATCTGGGTTGGTTCCAAGTCTTTGCTATTGTAAACAGTGCCACAGTGAACATACGTGGGCATGTGTCTTTATAAGAGAACAATTTATAATCCTTTGGGTATACACCCAGTAATGGGATTGCTGGGTCAAGTGGTATTTCTATTTCTAGATCCATAAGGAATTGCCACACTGTCTTCCACAATGGTTGAACTAATTTACACTCCCACCAACAGGGTAAAAGTGTTCCTATGTCTCCACATCCTCTTCAGCATCTGTTGTCTCCAGATTTTCTAATGATCGCCATTCTAACTGGTGTGAGGTGGTATCTCAATGTGGTTTTTATTTGCATTTCTCTAAATACCAGTGATGATGAGCATTTTTTCATATGTTTGTTGGCCGCATAAATGTCTTCTTTTGAAAAGTGTCTGTTCATATTCTTTGTCCACTTTTTGATGGGGTTGTTTGTTTTTTTCTTGTAAATCTGCTTTAGTTCTTTGTAGATTCTGGATATTAGCCCTTTTTCAAATGGATAGATTGCAAATATTTTTTCCTATTCTATTGGTTGCCAGTTCACTCTAATGACTGTTTCTTTTGCTGTGCAGAAGCTCTTAAGTTTGATTAGATCCCATTTGTCTATTTTGGCTTTTGTTGCCAATGTTTTTGGTGTTTACATGAAGTCCTTGTCTATGCCTATGTCCTGAATGGTTTTGCTGGGTTTACTTCCAAGGTTTTCACGGTGTTATGTTTAAATCTTTAATCCATCTGGAGTTAATTTTTGTATGAGGTATAAGGAAGGGGTCCAGTTTCAGTTTTCTGCACATGGCAAGCCAGTTTTCCCAGCGCCATTTATTAAACAGGTAATCCTTTCCCCATCGCTTGTTTTTGTCAGGTTTGTCAAAGATCAGATGATTGTAGATGTGTGACATTACTTCCAAGGCCTCTGCTCCATTCCATTGGTCTATATCTCTGTTTTGGTACCAGTACCATGCTGTTTTGATTACTGTAGCCCTGTAGTATAGTTTGAAGTCAGGTAGCATGATGCCTCCAGCTTTGTTCTTTTTGCTTAGGATTGTCTCGGTTCTGCAGGCTCTTTTTTGGTTCCATATGAAGTTTAAGGTGTTTTTTTCCAGTTCTGTGAAGAAGGTCAATGGTAGCTTGATGGGAATAGCATTGAATCTATAAATTATTTTCCACACCCATAGCATACATATGTGTGTATATATATGGGGAAACCAACTTGAAAGGCTTCAGAGGCCTTATTAAAGTTCTTGTAATTAACAGCATTTTTAAAAAGATGATGTTTGGAGAAGTTCCACATTGTAGCAAGTCAGAAATAACTGTGAAATAGATTAGCAGCACTAAACATGCATATATATATATATATATATATATATATAGACACAGTTCACTAACTCATTCATGATTCATTCTGGACCAAAAAGAGAGTGCTTATGGAGTTACTTTGAAAGAGTAGATTTCTGAAAGCAATTTTTTTTTAAAACTACACAATTATGCTCATATAAGCGCATTTTCATCAAGAAAGTATGAATCTCATATAAAATAAGATATACACTGAGACAATACACTAAAAATGAGCATTAATTATGTAGAGGACTTCTGTGATTTTGAACTGGCATGTAACTGAATTGAAATCCCAGAGGAGATGAAAATAGAGTTTCAAGCTGCTTCTGATTGCAGGATTCTGACATGAT